GAGAGGGAGCCAGGGGAGGCCGTGAGAGGTGAGAGGGAGCCAGGGGAAGCTGAGCTACAGTGTGGGCGCTGCGGATTGGCCCTCAGTGCTCAGCAGGAGCACTAAACTAAAATGCTGTAAACCACCGAGCCATCTCCAGCCTCTGATTTTATTTTCAAATGAGGTCTCACTGGGTCACCTTGGCTGGAACTCACTCTGCACACCAGGCTGCCTTGAACACACAGATCTACCTGCTTCTACCTCCAGAGTGTGGGATTAGGGATGTATCACCACCTCTCCTTTTTGAAGATTTTATTTCTTTTATGGTGCTTTATCTGCATGTACACCTGCATACCAGAAGAGGGCACCAGATCTCACTATAGATGGCTATGAGTCACCGTGTGGTTGCTGGGAATTGAACTCAGGACCTCTGGACGAGCAGACAGTGCTCCTAACCTCTGAGCCGTCTCTTCAGCTCCACTAATTATTATTATTATATTTTTTTAACTTCATCTGAGTGCTGTATTAGTAGTACTCCTGCCCCTCCCTCTCCAACCCCTCCTGTGTCCCCTCCCTCAAATCATTCTCTTTATAATTGCTACACGTATATGTACGTAGATGTGTATACACAGATGTATACATGTAACCCGCTGAGTCCCTTTAGCTTCGTTTCCAGGTAAATGTTTCCAGGGCTCCACGTTGGTTTTTTAGAACAGGGTCTCACTGTATAGCTCAGGCTGGCCTTGAACTCATGGTGACTCTCTAAGTAATAGGGTGACAGGTATGTCTTCAGGTCCAGCTGTTCCGATTTTGAAAGACACTTTCTTACATGAGCTCCTAACCCCGCCCTCCTCAAACTGATGATCCTCCTGCCTCCGCCTCCCAAGAATAGGGTAATGTCACAATACCCATCCTGATGGATTCTCACAACTAAATCTTTTTCTCCTACACTGTCATACATTCTAGAAACATTCGTCCTGTCTTTTCTTGGGTTTTGTTCGTTTGTTTAGTTTTTGAGACAGGGTCTCACAATGTAGCTCTGGCTGTCCTGGCACTCACTGTGTAGATGAGGCTGGCTTCAGACTCACGGAGATCAGCCTGCCTCTGCTCAGAGAGCTGGGACTAAAGGCGTGCACCACTATGCACAGCTCTTCTGTTTTGTTTTGCTTTTTTGTTATTTTGAGAGACTTTTATTTTTGAGAAAGTGTCATTGTGTAATGCTGTCTGGCCTTGAACTCAGCAATCCACAGTAATCCTCCTGCCTCAGACTCCTAACTGCTAGGATTACTATGCCCAGCTCTTAGTTTTAAAAAAAGATTCTTTGTGTGTATGAGTGTGAGTATGCGTGCACTAGTGTGCGTGTGCAGTGAGGACATAACATTGAGGCCGGAGGTGAGCAGAACCATACCTAGGCCCTCATAGCCTGTTGTCCTTTAGCAAAGGTGGTTTCTTTTCTTTCTTGTGTGTGTGTGTGTGTGCGCGCGCGCGCGCGCACGCGCGCGCACACAGGCACTGTGGTGGTGCTGGTTTTGAGACAGGTTCCATCTCTGGGTAGCAGCTTCGACTGTCCTGGAGCCAGCTTTGTGGGCCGGGCTGGCCTGGAAGCACAGGCCTCCCTGCTCTGCCTCTCCCTCCAGAGTTCACCACCGCACCTGGGCATGGGTGGCGTGCTACCCCCGTCTCATCCGCAGACACGAGCAGCCCGTTTCCACCTTGCTCCCGCCCAGGCCACGGTCATTCAGTCAACACTGGTGGAGGATCCAGAACAGATGCCCAGGCCTCAGGGAGCGTGGTTTACCTTGGGAGAGTGGTCATGAGAGCCCACTAGCACATTTCCAAGGCATCCAACAAATGCTTCCTGCATGTCTGACACTGCGGTGGGCACCAGAAATACCTTACTCAGCCAAACAAAAGAAACTGCGTTCTAAATGTGGGACCAGACAAACATTGTGTTCCGTGGCTGTGCAAGGTGGGCCACCCCTGGGGAGGCAGAAGCAGGCAGATCTCTGCCTTCATGGCCAGCCTGCTAGGCATCATGTCCCAGGACATCCAGGAACTTCCCAAAGACCCTGCCACAAAAAGTATTCTACACTGTGGGTAAGTGTTGTGAGAAAACAGCAGCCATGCTGGCGGAAGGGCTTACAGACACCAGCGATAGCGGAGGGAGCGCTCGCTGAGGAGTTAGTTCACCTGTGCGACAACATGAAGAAGCTGTGTGGAGGCATGCGTCCCAGAGAGGCGCATGACTAGTACAAAGGCTGTGCATGAGGATGTGCCCACAGCAGTGTGACAAGGGATGTAGCAGGTGCCAGCTGAGGCGAAAGGAGGCAAGCATGCTCAGGGCTACCCTGGTCACTGCAGAGACTGTGATTCACTGAGTGAAAAGCAAAATCACTTTGGTTGTAATCTTGTCTCCTTTGCTTTGCCTGCTGTGCCAAAAATAGGCTCTAGACAAGCCAGGTTGGAGGTTAGGAAGATAGGAAAGCAGACATGCCTGATGAAAAGGAGGCTTGTGGTCTGGAGAGATGGCTTGGAGTTAAGGGCTCTGACTGCTCCTCCAGAGCGCCTGAGTTAATTCCCAGCAACCACGTGGTGGCTCACAACCGTCTAGAATGAGATCTGGTGCCCTCTTCTGGTGTGAAGCCGTACATGCACACAGAATAATGTATACATAATAAATAAATAAATCTTTAAAAGAAAGAAAAGGAGCCCTTGCTAGACCCAGGGGCAGCAGAAGAGGTAGGAAGCGGTGCCATCTTTATTTGTTGTAAGGGCAAAACAAACATTTGCTTACAGATTAGATGTAG